GCATTGGAGTTCGTTTCAGAGAAACACAGGGGAACCATCGTGTTTTTCGCAAAATTTTACGGAGGAATCAGTACTCAAATTAAGAGATTCTACAGTTGTCTGAAATTCGATGGATTTCTTTTACAAGTGCGAACTATGAGTGAGCTAAGGTTGAAATAGGTTTAAAATTTTGGCGCCGAGTCGCAGGTCACGTCTGGAAAGTTGACGAGACGTCTCAGCTTCTTGTTTAAAACAATTTGTCTACTTTTTTTTCATATCCTGTCAACTTCGGGAATCCTTTCCTAGTCTTGAATATCATCTCGTATCAGCAGGTTGGATAATTGGTGAAATGGTGGTGAAAATGGAAATAGTACTGCCGTGCTAAGGAAGAACGCCGTATGAACATTCGAGGGTCGCCAAATTTCCTTCGATAAAATGTTTATTTTTGAAGAAAGTTATAACTATTTTTCCTTGAAATTCGCAGGCACTATCTGTAGGTAAAATGGCGAACAAAATTATCCGAAATATTGGAAAAAAATATTTGTAGGTTTACGCGGAAATTCGGGTTTTATCAAAGGAAATTTGGCAACGCCTGCAGGTCCATTCGACGTTTTTCCTTAGCACGGCAGAGTAGATGCCGTGCTAAGGAAAAACGTCGTATGGACCTGCAGGCGTTGCCAAATTTCCTTTGATAAAACCCGAATCTCCGCGTAAACCTACAAATACATTACATTTTTAGCACTGCGGCATTCGGTATCATTCCGGGTATCCATTGGGTATCCATGATTTTTAAATTGAACTATCTCTTTTTCACGATCCAAAGTTTTTTTTTCTGCGCTTGAATTTATACTTGTAACGAAATGCTCTTGTCTGCTGATCCACGTTTATCAACAGAACGAGCGATGACGTATGTACTGGCCATCCCTCTCCCGTTAAAGTCTGTTTCTAGGAATGTGCCTCAATTTTGCTTAAAAAAGGAAACAAAACTGTAAAATCCGCTCACTACTTAAATCGATACTTTCGAAAAGGGGCAATTTTCATTCAGTGACGATTCTTGAAAGTTGGTAACACTTATTTTCTTCCAGTCAAGTGCATGTAAAACAATCTACTTTTGGTGAAATAGCTTGATTCGCCTGGAATCGATAGTTTTGATGGATTTGAGTGGACGAAAATCAATTTTGCCATCTTGCAAAATCGCTACTGTCTTCATACTAAGAAATTTTTCAAAAGGGCCCAGAAACTTTTCAGAAAGCGACAGGTTAGCGCCATTTCGAGACCCGTTAAAGGGTATTTAAATGGTTTGTAGCAGACCAGTCTCGAAATCTCATCAATCAATCTCTTTTTAAACCGTTATTTGCGATTCTAATTAAGTCCATAACGAAACATGGAGATGACCCCTTTTCGAAAGTCCATCGAAGTTACCTGCTCATATGCGGCAAGATTTTTTTTTTTTTG